GCAACTAACAACAACAACATTATCGTTATTAGTTTGTCAAAGGCCAGAGCATTGAGAAAAGAAAAGAAAAAAATTTACTTAAAAAGAGATGCAAGGGAGTCCGACTTCAGAAGACCGGCTAATGAAATAAAAAGCCCAAGTGTGTAATGGAAACAAGTGCAAAATTACCAAAGTTACCAAGTTTCACATTAGTTGTTTGTGGTGAAAAACCAGTATCTATCTTATAAAATTACAACATCCACATAGGAATTGCCCTGTGTTCAGGCATCAGCATTACAAAACGCAGGGATGAAGTTGTCTTGGCCAAGATTTATGGAAGTGCTCACGATTTTAATATTTGAGGGATCAGGACTAGACAGACTGATCCTGTTATTCTTGGTTTATCTTGGGGTGCAAATTGCTGTTTCTTTTTCCTGGTTATGATATGTGATACGCTTAGTCAAAATGGAAGCAGGCAAATGTGTCAGTTTTCCTTCTGTATGATTTGTGGAGGAAAATAATCTAGCAGCAAATGCCCCAAGCTGCTTACAGTGGTTCTCTCTGGGACTCAGGACCGCAGGGAAGAGATTACTATTTACTGTATATGGTTCCTGTAGCGTTTGAATGTTTTGCATGTTCATAAGTTAAACTCAGAGTTTTTAAAAGAATATGATCACATAAATTTTAAATATCTAAGTTATCCCATTTCTTTCTAGTTCTTCCACAACAGTCAGGATAGTTTGCTTTTTACACTCTTCAGAAAAACATTTATAAACCATGCCATTTTCTCTAAAACCCATTTCTGCCACTTCAGCTTGTCATAGCCACCAGGAGATCCTAAGTGTGGAATTCCAATTGGGAGAGGAAAAAAATGACAGCCAATGGATTTTTTTGCAGGGAGGGATTCCACCCCACTTCACTGTTAGATCTTCACCCTTAAGGTTTAGAACCCCAGCCAGTGAAGTCTTTCAGAGTGAAGTCTGAGAGTTCTAAAGTCTCTGGTCTCAACCCTCCATGTCCTTGCATTTACTCATTGCAAACACTCTCTCCAAGAACTGAGAAGGAAGCTGATTGAGAATGAAGACTCATAGGGAGAGAGTCACACCTGATACTTAGGGAGGCTTTTCATTTGTTTTGCAAGCCAACAGTTGCACCCCATCTCTGGGTTGCTCAATTGCTCTATTAAGAGCCCCAGAGAGATGATGGTTTGCAAGGAGAAGGGTCCCATATATTCTGCCAGACTGGCAGTAACTAGTGAAGGTTGGTCAGCATTCATTCACCCGTGGCTTGCATCCAAATCCCCTTCAGCTGGGTCGACTAACCTGTAATGGCTCTACTGACCTTTAATAACGCAACCAGGTGGCCCAGGAACCCCCCTCTCACCTGCACTCAAGGGACAGACAACAGATGTACCCTTCAACATGACATAAATGGCTGTTCTCCCCACTTTTTCAGTCACTGCTGCTGAGGACCTGAAACTTTTAAAAAAACAAAACAAAAGCAAAAAAACAGCCAGGAGTTGACAGTGTTTGGGAAGGAGGGTGCTCATCATTTTTCCTCTGGATACAGCAACGCAAGGGCATCGCCATTATTAGTCTCAGAACTTCATTTTCCAAGGGAGCACAATAGAATAATCATCATCAGTTCCGGAGGATCTGATTCTAAACTGGATTATGAGCTTAAAACTTGGGGTTCTAAGATTCTATGCAGTGACTTTGACTGGGAAGCCTCTAAAACGAAGATTCTCAAATCTGAGTCCCCAAAGATTCTGCTCCAGCAAGGAGAAGAGCTTGATCATCTATAATTCTAATAAGTAGCCAAGATGATTCTATCGCACACCAAGAATTTCAACTTAAAAAGAAAAACAGGTACAGGTAGTGGCACAGTAAAAACTAACATTTATTGAGCATATCGTATGTGCTAGGTAATGCTGACCACATCCCATGCATTAACTCACTAGATCCTCCCATGTGAAACAGGTGCCATTAGTACTAACCAATTTACAGATGAGCACACTGAGGCTTAGAAAGCTTGATAACTTGCCCCAGCTCTGACAGCTAGTAAGAGGTAGAATTTGAACTCAGGCTTCTCTGAGTGTAGAGTCCATGCTCTGTTGCTTACTTCCTTGGGATGACATTTAATGTGGTGAGCACCTTGACCTTTTAGGAGATTACAGATAGCTGCCGGGCCAGAGACTTTCAGTCCTGGGAAGCCTTTAATAAGTACTAGTGCCTGGTCCCCACACCAAATAAATCAGAATCTCTCCTGGAGGGGGTCCAGTTATCTGGTTTGTTTTTGTTTTAATTACCCAGGTGGTTGCAATGTGCAGCCAGGGTTGAGAACTCCAGAATTTGGGACTCAGAATTCTGGAACTCAGCCTGCTAGTAGTCCTTGATGTCAACTGCAGGTTCCAGCTCTGCCATTCACACAAGGGGCCTGAAAGCAAGTCCTCTTCACTGCTGAGTCTCCCAGCCTGTTGCTGACTAAGGTGGCCTGTATACAAGAATTCATGAAAGGTTCCGGAAGCAGAAAGCCCTGTGGTATACTGGATGTTTCTCTGGCTTGTAATTGTCTGCATATGCCTAAGCCCCCTTACTAGTGCAGGAAGAAGAGTATTACCAAAGTGCTGTGATTTGAGAATCAAGGTTCCCACTGAGATCATAGTTCATGGTGCTAAGCGAGTCCCTCTGCACATAACCTGTGAATACATATTTCCAGTCTTCTTTGGGCTGGAGCACAACTTTTGGGCGTTTCCTAGCAGTGGGAGGATAAAGTGGGCTTATTATCCGGGGAAAGGACAGCACTGGCTTTCAATTCAACAAGCATTCTCTGAGCACCTCCTCTTTGCCTGGTGCTGGGCTAGGTCCTGGGAGACTCCACTATGTCTCATGGAACTCACATTTTATAGGGAAACAGACATACTTCTTCATCCATTCAGTCCACACGTATCTCTTGAGCTCCTAGAATATGCCAGACACTGTTCAAAGTACTCACAACAGGGACGATATTTAAAATGTTAAACACATTTGGCACAGGCCTGGAATCAGAAAGGATGCTCTGCTGGGCCAAGTGTTAACCTTAAGGTGCTGGCCCATGGAGAAATCTGGAGGATTCTGAGAAGGGACCAGGATGGCCAGGATATTGGGGGAGAGGGAAAAGGCTGGGGTAGCTGCTATTCAGTAGCAATATTTTTTTTTTTGTTATACATAAGGTCACCATGAGTCACAGCTGACTCAAGAGCAACGAACAACAACAAAAGTATTTCAATATTTTAATAACTGGTGGTGCAAACAGTTAAGCACTAGCTGTTAACTGAAAGGTTGGTAGTTCTAACCAGCAGCAGCTCTACAGGAGAAAGACCTGGGGAGCTACTTCTGTAAAGATTACAGCCAAGAAAACCCGATGGGGCAGTTCTACTCTGTCACACAAGGTCGCTATGAGTTGGAATCGACACAATGGCACCAAACAACAAAGTCTGTTAAAGTCCCTGGGTGATGCAAATGGTTAACGTGCTCGACTGCTAACTAAAAGGCTCATGGTTCTAGTCTACCCAGAGGTGCCTCAGAAGGCCTGGCAATATACTTCTGAAAAATCAGCTATTGAAAACACTGTTGCTGTTCTTAAGTGCCATCGAGTTGGTTCCGACTCACAGCGACCCTATGCAAAACAGAACGAAACACTGCCAGGTCCTGCACCATCCTCACAATTGTTGCTATGTATGAGCCCATTATTGTAGCCACTGTGTCAGTCCATCTTGTTGAGGGTCTTCCTTTTTTGCTGACCCTCTACCAAGCATGATGTCCTTCTCCAGGGACTGATCCCTCCTGACAATATGTCCAAAGTATGTGAGACAAAGTCTCGTCATCCTTGCTTCTAATGAGAAAACCCTGTGGAACACAGTTCTACTCTGACACAGACGGGGTCGCCATGAATCAGAACTGATTCGATGGCAACTGATTACTGGTTAAAGTCATTATCAAAGAGTACCAGTTGAATGTCAGCCTTGGCTGGGCATAGAGGTGAAAAAGTCAGCCAAGGTCCTTGACCTCATGGACTTACCTTCTATTGTAGGGATGAGTAAACCTCGGCTGCAAAGGACCAATTTTTTTTTTTTTTTTTTTTTTTTAGGCCTCGCGGGCTATATGGTCATTGTAGTATAAAAGCAACCACAGACAATAGTTACACAAATGAGTGTGGCTGTGTTCCAAACTATTCATAAACTCAGGTCGTAGTTTGCCAGCTCCTGTTCTAGTGGACAAGTCGGAAATACTCATTCATCCTTTCATTCTACAAATATTTATCAGGCATCTTCTACATGACAAGTACTGCACTGGGCATTGGCATACTGTGCTAATAATAATCCCTGCCCACATAGTACTTATTCTCTAGTGGAGAGATAAAATCAATGACTTTAATGTGCTATGGTAAATGCTTAAGGAGACGTTGTGGTTCAGTGGCAGAATTCTCACCTCTCAGGCAGGACACCCAGGTTTGATTCCCAGCCAATGCACCCCATACACAGCCACCATCCATCTGTCAGTGGAGGCTTGTGTGCTGCTACTATGCTGAATAGGTTTCAGGGGAGCTTCCAAACTAAGATGGACTAGGAAGAAAGGCCTGGTGATCTACTTCCAAAAATCAGCCAATGAAAACCCTACAGATAACAATGGTCCTATCCGCAGTCCATCATGGAGATGGCACAGCACTGGGCAATGTTTCATTCCACTGTGCATGGGGTCACCATAAGTCGGGGCTACCTTGAAGGAAGCTAACAACAACAATGGTAAATGCTAAGATAAGAGTAATTAGGAAATAAAGAGGGGGCAGTTAACTCAGCCTGGGAGTTCAGGGAATGCTCCCTGAAGGAAGTGTTAGCCATGCTGCCTGTTCAGAAGCCTGACACTGAGAGGAGCAAAGTCATCAGGGGCCTCACAGAGCCTTTTTATCAGGACAGCCTGAGAAGCACGTGTCTTTCCTTGTGGGTTGTATGTCATCACCAGCTCTGCTCTTGTGCCCCACAGTCTCTACACAGCTACAATGAAGGAGATGTCGAAGGAGCCAGGCGGCTCGGGCAGAATGCCAAGTGGGTGGCCATCGCATCCATAATCATTGGCCTTCTCATCATCAGCATCACTTGTGCAGTTCACTTCACAAAGCAGTAAGTAGGGTCTTCGAATTTCTCCAGGTATAAAATGTCCTTTCTTGAATGACTATGGGAATCCATTAGGATAGGTTAGGTTGTGCTCTATTAACAACCCCAAACAAAAGGGTTTTCATTTTTCCTCAGTGACTGTACATGTGCCATGTAGGTCAGTGGAAGTTTTCTCCTCCACACAGTCACTCTGGGCCCCAGGCTTTGGGAAGCTTCACCATCGTGTAGCTGCTCTATCTAGAACATGGATCAACAAACTTTTTCTGTAGAGATCCAGATGGTAAATATTTTATGCCTTGTGGGTCATACAAGGACCCTGGATGGCACAAGTGGTTTGCAATCAGCTGCTAACCTAAACGCTGGCAGTTTGAATCCACCCAGCAGCTCCATGGAAGAAAGCCCTGGCAAACTGCTTCCCATTTACAATAACTTACAGCCAATTGACAACAGTGACCAAAAAAAAAAGAATAGCAGCTGAGGCTGCTTAAGTCCAACCAAACACCTCATGGGATTTGGTTCCTTGGTTTGGAGGTTTCAGGTTATGGTTTCATGGGACATCCCAGTTAATTGGCCTAATAATGTGTTCAGGGCTTGTTCTACCTCCTAGTTCTTGTGTAGTACCTGGGGTCTTAAAAGCTTGCAAGCAGCCACCCAAGGCTTAACAATTGGTTTCTATTCACCTGGAGCAACAGAGGAAAAAAGAGTCTGGAATAGGAGGAGGACATGGAATGTGTTTTTAACTAGTTTAAAAAAAAAAAAAAGTCTTCCTTGAGCATTATGCTCTTTTAAGAACTATCTATATGGGATCAAATTGACAACAGTAACTCAGAAAATTAGATAGAAACCTTAGGGGGCAGGTTATGTTAATGAGGGAGGAAAAACTGAGAAAAGAAGGCTGAGAATGGTTACCCAACTCGAAGAACGAAGAACGTAATCAGTATCACTAAATTGTACATGTAGAAACTGACAACTTTGTGTATGTTTTCCTGTGTATATTCTCAACAACAAACTAAATAAAATTTGGGGGAAAAAAAAAGATTACAGCCAAGAAAACCCTATGGAGCACAATTCTACTCTGTAACACACGGGGTCACCATGAGTTGGAAACGACTCAACAGCAACAGGTTTGGTTTTGGGTCATACAGTCTCTGTCGCAGCTACTCAACTATGTCATTTCAGCACAAAAGCAGTCATAGACAATATGTAAACAAACGGACATGTCTGTGTTCTAGTAAAACGTTATTTACAAAAACAGGTGGCTGGCCTGAGGGCTGTAGTTTACCAACCTTAGATCTAGAACTTGAGATCTCCTCAAGCTAAGGCAGGCGAAAGGAAGACCAGAGAATCCCACATAGGCTTTTCCCTGCCTCAGTCCAGGAGTGAGAAATGCCACTTTTGCCCACATTTGCTAAAACTGTCACACAGTCTCACCTAAATAGGGTGGCAAACATGGAACAAAAAACAGGATACTCAGAGTTATAACTTGATCTGCCTTACCATCTGACCTGCCAAATGGCTTCATATGTGACTTTGCATTGTTGTTGTTGTTGGGTGCTGTTGAGTCATTTTTGACTCATAGTGACCCCATGTGACAGAGAATTGCCCCATAGGGTTTTCTAGGCTGTAATCTTTGTAGGAGATTGCCAGGCCTGTCTCTATGGAGCCACTAGATGGGCTCCAACTGCCAACCTTTCGATTAGCAGCTGAGTGTTTAACCATGGCACCACCAGGGCGCCTTGATTTTGCATTAAACTAGCTTAAATGTTCTTAGTTTAAGGACGGAAGACTCTCCACATATTTTTAATATTTCCAATGAGCTCTAACCTCATAAACAGATGGATGTTGTTAATGTTTCCTTCTTTGTCTGCTAGAATCAGTGACACCTTCTGAGGTTTGGCAGGGGGCAAGGTGGTGTGATGGACAGCTCAGACCCAGAAATGACAAGCCCAGATCCATCTCTGTCTTGCTCTGTAATTTATGACAAGACAGATAATAACTCTGAGACATCCTTTAGCTATTCTGCAAGAGCAGCACAGTTACTCCTATACCCTTGACCAAAGCACCATGTCCCTCTAGCTGAGAAGGTCAAAGTCTTTGGCTGGATGTTCTCAGTTTCAGGAAGGGCACTCCCACGTGAGGTGAGGAAGGAAGAGCACATCCTTTAACCAGCCAGATCAGCAAACCTAACCTTGGCAGCCAAGAGGGTAGCAGATGTCACACCCAGACCATTAGACAAGCCAGGTCCAGGAGACATCAGCGGCACCTGGATGGAGGAGATGTTGAAACAGGAAGTATCACAGAGGGAGAAACAGGTGGTCTTGTCCAAAGAGAGGAGAAAAGGACACTAAAACATCAAAGAAACCTCAAGGTTTCTTGCTTCTAAGATGACAAATCTGTCGAGTCAGCCTGTGAAGGGGAGGACGATTGGAGAACAGAAGTGAACACACTCAACTTTATTCTTTAAAGAAGTCATAATGTCCTTGTGAGGAGGCCCTGGGTGGCACAAACAGTTAAGCACCTGACTACCAGCCAAAAGGCTGGCAGTTCAAACCCACCCAGAGGCACCTCAGACGACAGGCCTGGAGATCAGTTTCCAAAAGTTCACGGCCTTGAAAACCCTATGGAGGAGTTCTACTCTGCACACAAGGGGTTGCCATGAGTCAAAATCAACTTCACCGCAACTAACAACAACAAATGTGCTTGTGTGTGTTTAAGGTGTGAGGTTGTAGAACGTGCTGGTGGTGCAGGCTTTGGCTCCAGAGGACCTGAGATCGAGCCCCCCCCCCACCACCACCAGCACTTATCACTGTGAGAGTTTCAGCCAGTTGCTTAACCTCCTTCAACCCCAGCATCCTCAGCTGTAAAATGAGGATTATAATAGTACCCATTTCAGAAAGCTACTGTGAATTAATTAGATGATCCACAGAATGTGTAGAGGTTGGTGTCGGTTCCTTAGTCAGTGTTCAGAAACTGCAAACCATTTATTGATAGTACTGTTACTACTGTCATCAACATTACTGGTCGAGGTCCTCAGAATTTAGAAAGAAGCCATTAAAAAGAGTTCAAGGCTTTGTACTCATGAGCCAGATGCAAAGGCTAGCACTCCAAAGGAATGAGGCCAAGTAGTGGCTTGGCTCCTGAGGACTTGTGAAAATGTATACCATCCAGACCAGGGCTTGAGCTGCGTGGGTTGTAATAACAGAAGGCAACACTGACATGTTTTTGTTGCTAGGTGCTGTCGAGTCAATTCTGACTCATAGCGACCCTGTGTACAAAAGAACAAAAAACTGCCCAGTCCTGCACCATCCTCACAACTGGTGCTCTGTTTAAGCCCATTGTTGCAGCCATTGTGTCAATCCACCTCACTGAGGGTCTTCCTCTTTTTTGCTGACCCTCTACTTTACCAAGCATGATGTCCTTCTCCAGGGACTGGTCCTTCCTGATAACATTTCCAAAGAATGTGAAACAAAGTCTCTCTCCATCCTCACTTCTAAGGAGCACTGGGGCTGTACTTCTTCCAAGACAGATTTGTTTGTTCTTCTGGCAGTCCATGGTATATTCAATATTCTTCACCAACACCATAATTCAAAGGCATCAATTATTCTTCGGTATCCTTTATTCATTGTCCAACAATGATACAGGACTTACTGTATGCCAGGCACTGTTCTAGGCTCTTTACATGAATTAACTCATTGAATCCTCACAGCAACCCCACGAGAAAAAAAAACAAACCAAACCCGTTGCTGTTGAGTTGATTCCTACTCATAGCAACCTTACAGAACAGAGTAGAACTGCCTCATAGAGTTTCCAGGGAGCACCTGCTGGATTCGAACTGCCAACCTTTTGGTCAGCAGCCATAGCACTTAACCAGTATGCCATGAGGTAGGTATTATTATTCCCATTTCACAGATGAGGAAACTGAGGCTCAGAAAGGTGAAGTTACTTGCCTGAGGTCTCTCAGCTAGTTAGTGGTAAAGGTGGGGTTTAAGCCTAGGGTAGTCTGGCTCTGGAGGCTGTGCTGTTAATCACGATGCCACACTGCTTCTAAACCAATGTGTCCCTTCTAGCACATCTGGTAACCAAGGCCAATAGATGGCGTTCACCTGTGGCTAACTCCATAAGTTATTTAAGTGAGGTTGACGTGAGATTTTCAATGTAAAGAAAAATGTGATGTGACAGGGTTACAAAGTCAAAGGGCTACAGAGAGCAGGCAGGGAACATACATGAATAAAGCAGCCTGATTGTAGGACAACAGGGAGCAGTGGGAACTGTGGTGAATTGGCAAGTACATTTTAAAGGGGCAGCCACTACTCTGCTCCAGCTAATTGTTATCACTTAGGCTTCCAATTTTCAAAGGAAGTTGGAAAGCTCAGATTTTTTTGTAAAATCTCTTGATTTTTAGATGGTAGCCATCAATTCACATTGTTTAAACATATAGTGAGGACCAAAAAGCAGCAAAAAAAAAAAAAAAAAAAAAAACTCCAAAAAACCCAACAACAAAACTCACATCTTGAGCCTGAGCACTGTCTACTTTGTATCCTCCAGTGGACAATTTGGCTTTCAAAGATGAGTTTGCCCATGAGAACACCATCCAAAAAGTTTTTCAAGGGACCCAGAGGTCTTTACATATAGGGCCTTTCTCCATTCTTAATATAAGTGGTTCTGTGTGGGGAGGGGGTGTTTATGTGGGTATGCTTGTGTTGGGGCTTTTTTAATAATGATAAAAGGTATGAATGGGAGCTACTTCTCTATTCCTTCTTTTTAAGAGGCAGTGTTTCACATAGTTAGAGCTTGGACTTCAGTGCCAGCTCTGCCAAGATTCAAATCCTGGCTCTACCACCCAGACCATCTGGGCAAGTTATTAAGCTCTCTGTGCCTCAGTTTCCTGATATGTAAAATGGGGATAATAATAATTTCCCCATATGTAGGCGCATGTTCCTTTTAGATACCTTTCCCCCACATTATCAATGAAAACAAGTTTTCCACAGTTTTAGAATCCCACAGGG